TTGCATGGGGTTGTTGTTGGTTAAGCTCCCAGTGTTCTGCAATTGTGATAAGACTTAGTAAAGATTTGACTTGAATCAAACTATTTGCCCACAGAGCCTTTTCAGAGGTTACAGAGCGTAACACATTTGAGGCTAGGTGCTGGTAGTGATTTTTTTTTTTGTTTCATTTTTAAATCCATTTCAGGCTTTGTCTACACAGAGAAGTTGAGATGAAATATTCTTTAATTTGAGTGTGCAAGTGTTACTTTTTCTTAACCTTTTGTTGGCTAGAAGTATTTCTTTTACGTTGAGACAGCAGAAATTTATACCCAGTACCCCTGGGCATTTTTCTGTAACTAAAGACAGTGCTGTCAGAATGGAAGATCCCTTAGAAGGAGACGGTGTTTGCAGGAATCTTGTGTGCTCCTGTCCCAAGATCACGACTGTGCTTGAATAAATTAAATGACAGTCCTGAAGGGTGCAAGCACAAGGGCCAACACGTTTGTTCTTCTGGGTTGTGTTTTGGGCATATGGTGATCTTCACTGTAGCTGGCAGCTGTTTTTTTTAAAGTTCTTGAGTTAATTAGCACACAGCTGGAACCTCTTAGGTGTTGGTATTGTGAAGATTTATTGTGAAGAGGTGATGTAGGAATATGAGCCAAGGAGTACAAAGAAATAAGTAACTGCAAGGTTAGAGAAGCAGACTAAAAAAAAAATAAGGGCTATGGAGATACTTGGAAAGCCTTTGTTTTACTTGAGGGGGGGGAGGGAGGGGGGAAGAAAAAAAAAAGATTAATAAATACTGATTTTGCAGATAAAGATTGGGAAGACATAAAAAAGATGCCTGAACATTCAACTTTAATGAAAGATTTCCGGAGAAACACGTAAGTCTGCTTTGAGTTGAGCTTTCTTAAGAAAGCATATTTTACTTCTCCTTCCTACCCTAATTTTCTTGTAGCTCAGGTTTTTTTGTGTGTAGATGCCAAACAAGGACTATGAAATGGTTATGACTTAGATTGTGAAAAAAGAAAAATAAAGTTGTTTCATAATGGTGAACTTGGCCTTTTGAGGCGGTGTGAATCAGAAAAGTAGCCAGAGACAGACTGTAAATGGTAAGGTGGCAGGTGTGAAACTGGTGATGACAGTAAGACCCTGCACAGCTCTGAAGATTGCTAAGCACAGTTTGTCACAGCTGCTTCCAAATCTGTGGTACTGGAAATGATTTTTCTGTGATAGCTGCATAAAAGGGATCTGGTAACCTTATAATGTTTCCAGCAAACAGTGGGTGTAATTGTTGGGTTTGGTGTCTAGGGTAGCTTATGAAGGCTAAAGAGAAGAATACCTTTCAGTTTTGCTGTCGTATTGCCAGAGTCTAATACTCACACTTAAGACCCTACCTTGTTGCCTTGTTTCTACGCTGAGGGATTTGGGGCTGTACTGTTACATATGTTTCTTGCATCTGCCATGCTATTGTAACCATTTAGAAACCTTATTTCTGAGCTTCTCTTCAAAAAAGTGAATTCATGGATGTTCTTGTAGGAACTTGCAGGAGAGTGTTAAGATGGGCTTAGTATTTATCTCCATGTTTACTGGCATTAGAAGTATACAGAATGAAACTGTATAGTAGTAAAATTGCTAAAAGGCAATTTTAAATTGCCTTTAAATCCAAGTGATAGTTCGGTGTCTGCATGTGGGTTAAGAGTATGCTTTTTATGTGGATGTGATGTGTTTTTACTAGCATGTGAGGGAAACAGATGGATTTCTGTAGTGTCTGAATGTTTTTTTAAGCAATCACTGGTGTTGGTAGTTGTGGTTTTTTCCTGCTTAGTGGATTAGCAATGGAGACTAAAATATTCTTATCAATGTTTCATGGCTCCTAAGAGAGCTTTGCCGTATCAGATTTGCATATTAGAAGTATCACATTTTTTTTCCTTCTCTAGGTATACCAACTGCAGCCTTATCAAATATATGGAAAAACATAAAGTTAAACCAGATAGTAAGGCATTCCACTTGGTAAGTTCTTGCATGCAAACCCTCATATAAGCTACAGGTGTTCAAGCTGAGAGTTGAGCTGGTGTCAAGTATTCTGTGACTAACTTTATTTTATAAATATTATACCTTATTTTATAAATAAAGTCAGGAATAACTTATACTCTGCAATCTGAAAATTGCAAAACCCCTTTACCTTCTCACATTCATAAAAAGATTCTGTGAGTCATTAATTGGATTAGTTTCTGTATCAAGTATATGAGAAGTTTTCAGTCTTTAAGTCATGCTAAGCTTGTAGTTATATTTGCAATGTTGCTGCAACTCTTACCCATTTTGCTGCTTTGCATACTTTTAACAACCTATTTTTTAAAAAATAATCCTAAATGCATAATTTTTTTACATATTCATTATTAAGTTTACATCTTAGGCACTTCTGTTTAAAACAGAAAAAAAAAAATTAACTTGAGACTTGAATATTTAGTTTGGAAAATTTTAGTATGCCTTCCCAGTGCACCAATCCTCTGTAGCTTTCTTATCAAAACTTCCTAGTACTCTTACAACAATTGGTTTATCTCTAGAACATCTAACTCTCTTTTATTGAGGCTCTAGTTAAAATTATACACTTGCTCAGCCCTAGAAGTGCCTGTGTTACACTGTTTCAGATGTTACTGTATTGGGCCTTTTCTTCTGTGTTTTAAAGAACATTCCAGTTTCTAAAATAAACTCTCTATATAAAAGAATTTAAGTATGTCTGGTCTCTCTGAATGAATCTGATGTTTCCAACTCAGATTAAATGTTTTCAGGCTAGAATAATATTTACCTAATAAGGTAAATGTATTATTGGGGGGGGCAGGAGTGAGAGAAGAAAACAGGAAGCTTTTTGATCTTGGAGATGAGAGGAATAAAGTGGAGAAAAGGGAAGATGGTTAAGAGGCCTGGGTGTCTGAGGACCCTGCGGCTTTTGTTCAAGTCATTGGAAGCTGTACCTTCTCTGATGATCAGACCCAAGGCTTTTTAAGCAACCATCTTTTTTCTGTTCAGTACTTTCCTCCATATAAATTTTGAAATTTATCCTTCAGTCAGAGCAGCTCTGAGGCAATATTCTTCTTGTGGCGTACTGCATGAGCATTTTTGAATAAGGGTTTCCAAGCAGATGAGTTATACTGCACTGGTCTAAAATAGAATGTATATTCAAGGTTCAGATTAAAACCAAAAGTATAACCAGCTGAATCAAGTACTCATTGCAGGAAGTTACCTGGCAGTTTTATCATTATGCATCACTTACTGTGAAGTGGCTCTGCCCTCTGAAGTTAAAAGTTGGTGAAATGCTAGAGATGTTTACATAAGCAAGGAAACTAGTCCTCTCTGGTGGATTTTTGTATCCAAGCAGAACTGGAAGCTGCTGAACAGTAATGCATAAAAAGTTTATGTTGATATGTGAAGAACTGAAGTGCCTGTTACGCACAGGCAAAACAGTCCATCACATTTTGCCCATAATTAATCCAGTTTTTACCATGTGGCTGTTTATAACAGAGCTTCATAAATGCATTTTTAGTATTTAGCAAGATGTTCTTATGTTTTAGTATGAGAATACTCTAAAAAAGATATATTTGACATAGCAAGTAGATAATATCTCATATTCCTATCAAAGCCTAAGTAATATTTCTGAAAATTACATTACATAGTTCAACAAGCAAAAAACAATGAACCTGAAGTATGTATTGAATATGATGTTTTGCATAGAATGGGGTTTGGATATAAAAACTAGTCCTTGGACTCTTAAGTAAAGCAAATCGAGTGAATTTGCCGATCTTTCTCATCAGCCACTATAGGCCGGTGTTCCATAAAATTGTGCAACTGTGTGCATCTGTACTTACCTTTCTAACCCCATCTTCTTTGAGAACAAACATGCTGCTTGTCATCTACAAATTTGACTTGTAACATATTTGGAGTCTAAAGCTCTCAAAATTAAGCTTATGTTGCTATACCAAAAGCTGAAAGTGGCTGATTATCACTAGTGGTAATTGAGAAAACTCAGTCAGTTCTGCCTATTAAAATCAGTCGCATTAGATTTTCATATCATACCTAGGTGAAGTAAAAACCTTTTCCCTGCAACAATCTGTATAACATGGCCAGTGACTTCATCTTCAGGTAACGCTTTTCCCCTCCCTCGATTCCTCAACTATTTCTTTCTCACCACTTTCCAGTCTGCTGGTTTAACGCCAAGCTCAGGTAAAAGTGAGTAGTTCAGGCTTTGCTATACATCTTGGCAGTCCATAAAAAGACTTTCTCTGAATGATCTATGAGCTGTGAGTGCTCTGGCCAAACCGACCTGAAATTTCTCATCTGCTCTCCCAGTCTTGCAAGTTTAGAAATTGTTTTCAATAGAACAATAAAACTAGACACAAAATAATCACATGAGAATGGCTTAAAACACTTACTACAGCGTTTTCTCTTCTCCCTGCGGCATCACAACAGGGTGATAACTGTTTGAATGTATTCAGCATTTTTGTTCAGCATGTTTGTATTTATACCAAAAAGCAGCATTTACATTAAATTGCAAAATCGAGGAATGGTGTCCTTTACCAGGCCACTATCACCCTTCCATCCTTGGTCATATCTGTGAGTACTGAACAAGAGGACCAGAAGGGGAGTTTGAGCGTGGGCCCCTGACTGAACACGCTGCTTCGCTGCTACCTCACCCACTCGTTCCACTTTCGACCTCTACCCACCTTCCCTCGACAAAACTGGTAGCGAGAGAGCCAACTTTGTGCAATTTGGATGGTGCCAGTCAGTGTCACACAAGCTAAAAAGCAGGGTATTTAGTAGAGTAGACGTAGCCATGTTCTTTTGTACTTCCCATAGATATGAATTGTGAGGGAAGTACTGTCAAGCTCTAATAGAATCTTCTCTGTTTTTTTGCTAACTGCTGTCTGTCAGAACAATTCACTGAAAATCAGATCCCATTTAAAAACCCTGGTCTTTCCAAAGTAACATCTTAAAACACTGTTCAGGTGCTGTCAAAATCGGAAGGTGCCTTGGGTTTCCACTCTTGTGCTTGAGGGTAGGCTGAACTGCGGGTGAATGCCTTAGGCCCCTCCAGCAGAGCCTGAACAAGTTCAGCAAATCTCTTGGTACCAGTTCTTCCAGAGATAACTCCCAAAATCTAACTCTTCCACAAGCTGTCTCACAGCCCTTTTACTCTCTGCATCAGAACAGATTAAAAAACTGTTTACATCTACCATTGTAAAATATGCCAGTACTAATGATTCCAGGACTAGTAAATCCAGATATTGTTGTCATTGCCAAAAATGAAATATTTTGACTTCCCAACTTGAATTAACCAGATTTTTTTCCGTCTTTACTGACATTCATGCACATGGTCCCTTTTCACCTGCAGAACTGATGTGTTAACATGAGACAACTTTGGCTCCTTCCTGCTTCTGCAGCTTATATTTTTTTTCCACTTTCACTTTCCTGATTTTTTTTTTTATTCCCTACTTACTTGTTTATGCCCTAGAAAATGGGTATGCAGCTGCTGCTTCTGGTTAATTGAGTCATGTTTCATCTTCCATTTGGTTACTTTGGTCCATATGAACTGTAGTGATTGTCCCATTCATTTCTGATATATAAAGTTTACTGCATTTTTATTATGTCGTTCAGCCAGGTGATCTTTTAATTGATCAGTTTTTAAAATAGAAGATATTTGTAGTAATAAGTGGAAGATTCACTTCTGTGCTGGCACCTGAACAAGGGGAGCAAGATAAGAGTTTTGATCCCCTGTGTGATAATGGTTGTGCAATCATTAAACTTTTCTTGTGGTTTCTATTTTCTGTTGCTGATTATGACCAGGTTTGCTCACATCTTGTCAGCATGTGATGGACAGCTTTATAACTTAATTGCCAGAAATGATGCCAGAATTTTGCAATGTTTTTTGATTGTGATGTTTTTCAGCATGTTGGCAATTCTTTCTCATTTTTTGCCTTCTCCTTTTCTGGCTCCTGGGGTTGCTTTCTGAGCTGTTTGAGAGAACAAGAATTGTTCTGTTCAAACTGATATTCTACAAAGACTGCGTGCAGACTCAGAGAGCTGAAATAACTTATTGTGAGTCCTTGCTGATGTGAAAAACAAAACTGGATTGATGGTGGTAATACGTATTTATTATGTTCTTAACCATGCCATTAAAACTGAAGGCTGGGGAGTGAAAATGTACTTTCCTAACTGTAGCTATCTGCAGCGTGGTCTGCATTGTTGTTGTGTATGCTCACTTAATAGCTAGTGAAAGGAGATGATCAGTTCAGACATAGATCGTGACACTGGATCTTTATAAAAAGGTGAATTTAATCCCATGAAAAGTATGAATAGCAAATGTAAAATGAATATTACTTGCATATGTAGTTTCTGCATATCTTTTTTTATCATATCCATGATTAAAAAAAAAGCTATAGGTTCAAAGTGTAGCACTTCTTTTAAAGATCATTGTCTTTGACAATAAATCATGGTATAGTTTTGCCTTGGACACTGTATTCTATGGTGAAACATGAAGACTCACTATTTTCCTTTTTCTGTGTAGTATATGAAGGTTATCTCATTCTGCCTGTATATGTTGCTTGTCCAGCACAGCTGTATTCCACAAAACTGCTGGCTGGATGGGGAGAAGTACATGCACATATACCAGACCTTTTGAATAAGAAACACTTACTTTTAGAATGCATCACTGCTATTCAGTGCTAGAGTTAAATTAAATCCACTCTGGTCTGCTATTCCTAAAACAGAGGAAAATCTTGAGACCTGTGGAGACGGCGTTTCTAATGTGTTTTTAATTGAAAATCACTGCTGAGATGCTGCAGTGACAAATGTATAAAGTCCAGCCAGCTTCTGAAATGTTTACATAGCTGCCAAAAAGAGTGGAAGAGTAAAAACAGTACAAACAGTAAAAACAGTTTTTAGAATTACCTTTCAATATTTAACGTTGTGCTGAATTTAGACTTCATGTCTGTTATTGGTATTTGAAGTTACTCAGGAGGAGTTCCTGGCTATGTATCCTAAGCATTTCTCATAGCATGTCCATTTAAGGAGCAATTTTTTAACTCTTTTTATACAAATTTTTCACTTTGCTTTGGTTAGGTCAATTTTATTTTCTTAAATTTTCATTTGTATGTTACCTTAGGATTTTTTTTCTGCTACCTGTTACTGAAACATCTTGTGTGCCATTTTTTTTTAAGTTGGGCATCAGGCAGCAAATACCTAGCATGCTTCTTAGCCCTCTGTTAACGCTTCCCAAGGAGAATAAGAGGTGTTTTTTCAAAGGGTAAGGTTTTGCTGGATTTTTAGTTGAACTGAGTTCAACTATTTTGTAAAACATTATAGTTTGCCTTGTCTTCTGCATATTTATACTTTGAGGTCATCTTCATTGTCTTTAACTAACGCAGGCATTTTGGAAAGATTTTTTTTCATGTAGTTGATACCCGATTCATCAGTTGTTACAAAGATAAAGGCTGAGGTTTTACAATGATAGTGCAGCAGCACCAGAGCTCAGACTTGATGTGCTCATGGAGGGGGCAACTTATTAGACTTCTCTAGAGTATTTTGCAAAAAAACAACTAAAATTCAAGATTTTGCACAATGGCTCTTTTGAGCATCATGTAGCACACAGATCTGTCTGAGAGTCCATATTTGTCAGAATAAACATGCACATACTGGAGTGGATGATAAAAAGTGATGTGGCCAGGTGGGTTTTTTGAACATGTTGATTACTACTTTCTTTTACAGCATAAAGATTTTTCTAAGGAGTGACTTCATACAACATTTTTAAAATACTATGGATGACAATGGAGATGTACTAATATGACAATACTAAATAATGAGCAATAATGGACATGGAATCACTTTTGTTTATTAATTGCTAAGAATTATTTGAATTTAGATGGATATGATGTCGCTTCTTGTTAAGTGCAGTGTAGTTGAAGAAACCAGGCTTAATATGTGCATGTTACATCATCTTGTGGGAAGTGAACAGACCATTAAAGAGAGAAGGACTTGGAGGTACTGGTGGATGAAAAGCTAGACACGAGCCAGCATGCAGCCCAGAAAGCCAACCGTATCCTGGGCCGCATCAAAAGAAGTGTGGCCAGCAGGTCGAGGGAGGTGATCCTGCCCCTCTACTCTGTTCTGGTGAGACCCCACCTGGAGTCCTGCATCCAGCTCTGGAGCCCTCAGCACAGGAAAGACATGGACCTGTTGGAGCAGGTCCAGAGGAGACCCACAAAAATGATCAGGGGGCTGGAATACCTCTCCTGTGAAGAAAGGCTGAGAGAGTTGGGGTTGTTCAGCCTGGAGAAGAGAAGGCTTTGGGGAGACCTTATTGCAGCCTTTCAATACTTAAAGGGGGCTTATAAGAAAGATGGCAGCAAACTTTTTAGCAGGGCCTGTTGCAACAGGACAAGGGGAATGGTTTTAAACTAAAAGAGGGTAGATTTAGACTAGACAGAGGGAAGAAATTTTTTACGATGAGGGTGGTGAGACACTGGCACAGGTTGCCCAGAGAGGTCGTAGATGCCCCATCCCTGGAAACATTCAAGGTCAGGTTGGAGGGGGCTCTGAGCAACCTGATCTAGTTGTAGATGTCCCTGCCCATGGCAGGGGGGTTGGACTAGATAACCTTTAAAGGTCCCTTCCAACCCAAACTATTCTATGGTTCTATGATTAAAGCTGCTGGTACCTTGTGGTAACTAGAACTAATTGAGTGTCCTGGGCTTTGCAAGTAAAAATAGCTGTTCTTCGATGGGAAATGAAGTTACTATTTTAACAAGAGAGAAGAATGTGGTTATGCCATTTATGGTTAGGGTTTTGAGTTGGGACTCATTTGTATCAGCTTGTCTTTCAGGAATAATACAGTGAAGTTTCTGTAAATGGTTTTGGTAATGCAGAGCTTTTTTTTTGCAGCTTCAGAAATTGCTCACTATGGATCCAATAAAAAGAATTACCTCAGAACAGGCTATGCAGGATCCCTATTTCTTAGAAGATCCTCTTCCCACATCCGAGTAAGTGGTCAGTTTATTAACCTATCAGTACATCCAGAGATGCTTTAGAAATGTGTGCTTTCTCTCTGCTATAAATAATGTTTGTGAATATTGAGCTAAATATTACTGTCTAACAACCAAAGAAAGCTATAACCACTAAAATGCCATTTGTGGTTTTTAAAATTAAGTAGCATTCTTATTAATCTCTTGCCTTATGGAACTTTGATCCTATTAGTCGTAGCACTAATCTTGTTACTCACTGACAGGTTGATTATGCATGCTACAGATCTTTGTAGACAACTGGTAAGTGCCCGCAGGTCCACTTCTCTGCTCCAGAATGCCAGATGACGCTCTCTAATTAGTTTACATTTTTCTGTCTTAGCCTTTGTTGTAAATTCAGTGGGTGGGGGAGCTCTGTGTCTCTGTGCTGTCATCCTTAACAACTTAAATCCATTTTCTGTAGACACTCCTCTTTTTTTTTTTTTTGCGCAGGGAGATGTACAAAAGGAAGAAAATTTAGGGATAATGAATAATTTCATTAAAAATTAAGCTCCCCTCCCAAAAGACTAGCCAGAGAGCATGATTGTGCACCTTTTTAGGAAAGCTATTAGTACATCCTGTGTATGATTCTCTACCATTATCTAGGGAAGAATTTATAGAATATGGTGTGTATATTTATACGCAATTAATTAAAAATTATTTCACTAAAACCTACTGAATTATTTATAACAGCTCCTGACCTGCCTCTGTGATTTAATGTTGTCATGTGAATGATTTGCTTTTGCAGAAACTGCTTTTAGGACAGTGTTTGGCTTTTTTCTGAACTTTAGGTTGGCATTTTAATGTGAATACACAATGAATAATGCTAACAGGTGTACAGAGACTTTATTATAAATACATTCTACAGATGAAGGGCAGGTAAATATTAGCTCACACTAGCAGTAGCAAATTCATGTGGAGCATGAGATATGAATTGACAGATGAAATTTCTAGTTATTTTTAAACATTGTTCCAGGTGGTTTTAGTAATAGTCAGTGGAGTTTCCAGGGTTATTTTTAGTTAGTCCTGAGATTGTGAATTACACGATAGCTGGATTAAGATAGCTCTTTGTGCCCTTGCAGATATCTAACAAGTGGTGTACCTTTCCAGCCACGTTTGGTCACCAGTTACCAGAAACCGTGAAAACTATTAGGAGTTTAAATGAGTGTATAAGAGGCAACTGAAGATTAAAAATAAATGTGAATAAGTTTACAAAGTTTAGACATTGAAAGTAAGACCGGGAAAACTTCTCCGATAGTTAAGGGTTGCTGTGGCTCAGGCAACTTGAAACTAGCATGGGTGAAGTATGAATCTTACAGGTCTAACCCTTCTGTTCTAATACAGTGATAAATAGACTTTTTTGGGGGGCAGTGTTTTTGCAGGTTGTCAAATCCCTTACCCAAAACGAGAATTTTTAACAGAAGAAGAACCAGATGATAAAGGAGACAAAGTAAGTACTGGAAGAACAGTATGATCATGCTTCACTGGCTTTCACACTATTTCCTGTTTTCATGTTATTTCATGTACTGCTTTTGAGTTGAAATTTTTCTTTGTGTTTAAATAATTGAGAAGAACCAGCAGCAGCAGCAGGGCAATAACCATACTAATGGAACTGGTCATCCAGGGAACCAAGACAACAGTCACACACAGGGACCCCCACTGAAAAAAGTGAGAGTTGTTCCTCCTACCACTACCTCAGGTGGACTTATTATGACCTCAGACTATCAGGTATTTGTTTATTCACATATTGTGTATTTGGTTCTCATGTTTGCAACAGTGTTTCTTTAAGCTAAAAAAGTAATTCTGTGAATGTCATTGTATTAACTGTGGGGGTTTTTTTTTTTTTGCATCTTTCAGATGTTTTTTCAGATGCATTAGTTGACGGTTTGCCTGTAAATTGATATGCTGGTGCTTTTTAAGTTAGCAGTTCTAAAGAAATTAGGATCAAATATTATTACAGTTATTAATTTTTTACCTTCATGTGAGGGAATGCTGATTGTGAACCAAAAGCCTGTTGTGCTGCAGTCTGTATGACCTAAAAATACCATTCCTTATTTGCACAAGCCTGCAATGGTAGGAGGCAGAGGTTATTGCAATTAACAAGCTGTGAAATAAGAATCTGAACAAGAGTTTTAGTTGGGCAAATGGATGGGAAAGCAATATTTCGGATGACAAACAGAAGGACTTGACATGATGCTGTCATAATCTGTGTTTGAAGACCAAGGGAGATTACAGGTTGAGTAAGCCTAGTATTACAGATCTGAAGAGACACCTGAAGTGGTGGCGATCAATGAGTGAGGAAGAAGAGGAGTAGTGTAGGAAAAAGCTTGAGGATAACTTGAAAACTGTGTTCTAGTCTTTCTGCATTTGAGCTTGTGGTCAAACGTTAGGAAATCAGAAGGGTCTGGAGCTGAAGAATATCTGAGAGTCATCCCAGGGAATGATACCTGAATTTGAGGGTTTGGATGAGGTTACTCTTGGAGACTGAGGAAAAGAGAGTTAAGGACAGAACCTTTAGTTAATACCAGCTAAGAAATTCCAAAAGAGGGAGCAAGGAAGACTTTTCAAATGACATGCACAGTTAGGTTGCAGATTTTGGAAGCCTAGTGAATAGAAGATTTCAAAAGGAAGCATGCTGGTGGAAATGTTAGCCTGCAGGAACTCTTACGTACTGGTTCACATGGAATGCATAGTACAGAAGGCCAATTGGAAGAGAGTCTTGGATGGAATGGAAAGATGGGGAAGTCAGAAATTACTGGCAGTGTTTTCAGTTAATTTAAAGATTGATATCTAAATCTGGAACCCTAACATCTGTAACCCGCTTGGCAATGCTTGTATTCTGTAGCAAAACTTAGGGACAGTTAAAGAACGGTGTCAGTAAAACTGCTGCTGTCACCTTGCTTTGTACAGTTTGATACTGTTTCTCCATAAACACCAATGGGTTTTGAAATCTTCTATTTCAGAGTTTGTTCTTGAGAGTACCAGATGTCCTCAAAGCCTGCCTGGGAGCATTATCCTCATCCTTATATAAATCTGTATGTCCAGCCTTGGCCAAAACTTGAAAGCACTGAAAAATGTAAAACAAGGTCATTTTCAGGAGCTTTACTGTGAGATGCTTCATATAGTGCCCAAGTGCCTTTGCTCAGCTTATCCCACATCATCAATAGCATATCAGTTTTCAAGTTGTTCTCTTTGAACAATAAAGATTTTTAGAGCTGTTGCAAATAGTAGTCAGCCTTAACTACTGTGCCGCAGTGTGGGGTGCCTCTAAGTATAAACATTCCTTTAGTTGGGTTATGCATCATAGAGCACTTCTTTACAGGAGATTCATCCCATTCAATTTGGCAAGCTGCAAAGTTGATTGCTGTTGGAGCCTTTTAGCTGGCTCTATGACTTCTGTGTGTTTATTTTTAAGAAGGCAAATGCAACTCTAGCTCTCTTAATCTTCCCCTCATGTTGAGTCACATATCTAAGGAGATTGATGCAGAGGTTGCATGTACTGTGTCAGGGAGCCCCATTTACGTGCCCTATTTACATGCCCTTCACCTCATGTTGCTGCTGCAGCTTGGCAGCTTGAACAAATTTTGGCTTCCACTTCTGTGAGCAAGAGCTGAGGTTTGCTAGTTGAGAAGTCAGAAGACTCGAATTGCTTCGGCAGGAGTTAACGTTGGTTTGTTTTCAGCTCACGCTCATCAAAACTTCGTACTCTCAGATATCCATCCCAGGATTGTAGCTGGGGGCAGCCTTTGTCAACAAATGTAATTTCAGAATACTTTTGCCTTGAGATAGTGGTAACTGCTGCTTTGCTATCTCAGGAGCTCTTTTTGGTAACTTGACCGCTGCTGACTAATCTTTTTGCTGTCTCTCTAGGAGGCAAAACACCTGGTTTTAAAAAAAAAAAAAAGACATCTCCCCTCCAGTCTTGCAAGAAGGCAGTGGGTAGATTTGTTCTGATTAAGGTATCTGGAAAACACGGTAATGAGAGGGAGGAGACCTGAACTTGCTGGCACTGGAACAAAAGCAGTTAAGAGTAGCCTATTGGTGGTTTCAGATCTCCCTGAAAAAAATTCCTCACATTTTTTGCTTCTGATCCTGCAACTTGAGGAGGTGGCAAACAAATATTACAATACAGCCCTCTGTTTTAATCAAACACCTGTTCCTTTGTTCTTCATTTAATTTGGTCAAATTCCCCATATAAAGCTTGTGAAGAAGGATTGCCATCTCCTGGGCAAGACACACTAAGACAGTTTGTCCAGCCACTCAGAAGTCAAATCACTCTCTGCAGAGCAAGTTGACCTTGTATCTTTTTCTGCCATGCATAAAAATAGTAGACACATGGCACACAGACTTCCTTGCTTTCTCATTTAAATCTGCAATGTGACACTTCCAAAGGCAATGTGACTAAAAGGCTGGAGCAATGCCACTACTGTGAGCTTTTCCTTGTGATAACCCCCTGGGTGCTTAATGGTATTTAGAAAGGATTGGATATTTACATTTGTTCTTAAACAAAAGCCATTTGTTGTGCTGGGTGTCATGAAAGAATCTGATGATTTTTAATTGCCTCCGTCTTAAAATAAGATGTATTTTGGAAGTCAGGATGCAGAAGGTGTTTACAACTGACGTGCATGGTCAGTTTTTAAATGGTTAAACTTGTGATAGTTTCCTACCTACAGGAGCCACGCTTGGGCAAAAAGAATATTCAGGGATTTTTGCTCTGTGGGGTACATCCTATATTTCTTACATGGAGAAGGGTGACCCAGAGCTGTGGCACTTTTGTTGACGAGTGACTTAGTCCATCTCTCAAGAGTGAAGGCAAATGTCACAGAAGTGCAATCACTGTGTTAATGGTGCAGTTCAGCAGTAGTGGTTTGTTCTTGCTGGCCTTAAGTGCTGGTCCAGCCATTTCTTCCCCTTTACACTATACACCCCCAGAGAATTAGCTCAGTCCTGTGAGCGTATGTTAACAAGTAGATTTTGCCTTTTCATTTCTGCCATCATCTCAGCATCCTGATTATAGCTTCTGTTCTAAATGCTGAATGTCAGGAAAAAAAAAAATGGAGTTGTTATTTATTATTTTATAAAGTCTGTAAAGCTATTTTCATATTTTACTTTTTCAGGATGTTGGTTCACCATAGTTTTGTGTATTCAGGTCTTGGTAGCAATATCCTACTCCTGGAATATTCACCTTAAGAAAGTTTGCAGACCTTTACTAGAAGCAGCTTTTGCTAACAATCCTTGTGATATCAAGAGTTAGAAGTTAAACAGCAGTTTCTAAACACTGCAACATTTGTGTGTGTGTGCAAACCTTAACATACACATAACACAATTTCATTACATTACTGTTTTAATTTAGTGAAATGTTAAATGCTACTAAGTGGTCATATGCTTAGATTGAAAATCCCACATGCAGTCCATTTTTTCCTTTGTAACACATGATGTGTAAATAACTAACTTTTAGGCTAAAATTGAAGTAGGCAGTTGCTGGTTTGCTCAGAGCTTCTTGCAATGATGAATGCTCCACTCAATAAGTAATTGTAGAAGTGCTGGTTGAAAGGGGTCTCTGGAGACCATCTAGCTTAATCTCCCACTTGAAGCAGGACTTGCTAATGCTAAATCAGGTCAGCCATGGCTTTGTTTAGCTGAGTCTTAAAAACCTCCATAGATAGTGTCTTCACTGCCTCTCTGGGCAAGTTCTTCTAGTGCTGTACTAGCCTCTCAGTGAATTTTTTTCCCTAATGTCCAACCTGAACCTCCCAAGCCATAGCCTATGGCCATTTCCCCTTGAAACATCTGGTTCCACTGAGAAGACTCTGGCTGTTGTCTTTTACAACTACTTGAAGGAGAGTTACGCTGCTACTAGATGACGCCTTAGCCTAAACAATCACAGCTCTCTCAGCCTTTACTCCTAGGTCACACAAAAGGGTGGCAAGCATATCCTTTGTTTAGGGAAATCTCCGGAATAATGCAGTGGCTCATCAGCAGTAGGGTGCACCATTCAGACCCCCACCCCAACATACCTTCCAGGTAAAGGGAAGGGAGCAAGTGGAGAAGACCACTGCCGTGAGCAGTGGTAGCCTTGTGTAACATGCAAGTGTACCGTAGCCGTCTGGAGGGTTGACTGGAGGTTTGACTATGGTGGGTGTAGATTCACAGGAGGTAATTGGGATGAATACTGAAGGGTGGTAACTGTCACTTTCTAATCTGGTATTCCTGATGTTCATCCCTGTACCTGCTGTAATCAGAATAAGTGAAAAGAAGCTTGGCAGTGCAGCTGGTTTGAGGCTTTGTGTGGTCAGTACCTCGTGAAGAAATAAACCGGTAGGTGAAACTGTCTTGCAGTGTACCTGTTACGAAGGACTGCATTTCCTCTGCTTTTACCCCTCTGCAGCGTTCCAACCCCCATGCTGCCTACCCCAACCCCGGACCAAGCACATCACAGCCACAGAGCAGCATGGGATATTCAACTACCTCCCAGCAGCCGCCACAGTACTCGCATCAGACACATCGGTACTGAGCTGCACCCCAATAACGTCAATGCACTGTTGCTAATGCTGCAGGACCGGCCGCACAGCTGCCTGCCTGGAACCCGGCTTGGGCCACGAGAATGTACTGTACAACCACACCTCCAACCTGTCCGATCGCCACGATCCACCTCCTTCCACAGAGCGGAGTAGTGGCTCCCAAATTGTACCTGGTTTTGGGGTTAGACTTGAAAAGAAAGTGCTAGCACAGTTTGTGTTGTGGATACGCTACTTCCATAGTTTACTTGACATGGTTCAGACTGACCGATGCATTTTTTTCAGTGACAGTCTGTAGCAGTTGAAGCTGTGAAATGTGCTAGGGGCAAGCATTTTTGTTGTCGTATGTGGTGAATTCTCTTGATGTAACAACTTTATCTGACCAATAGTACACAACATCTTTGAACTGGTACTTGAAGCATACAGTATATGTTACCATGGCAAAAAAGCAAACTAACCGTGACTCTGAGACAATTTTGATAGACATTTATTTTTAGTGACTTTTGTGGGTTGGTTCATTTTCCACCTAGATCAATGTTTTATGACCGACACGATTGCTACGATGAGATTTTCTTAAGAACATGAAAATGTTTGCATTTTTTTCCAGCAATTACAAATGTCCCAAAGATTAATTTCCAACATAAGTTTTTGTTTTTAAATCTATGACTTGACTGGTATTAAAGCTGCTATTTGATAGTAAAATAAGTATGTTGTCATTGATATAAACATGTTTGGTTCAGCAAACAAACTAAAATGATTGTCATAGACAGTGGTTTTTTTTTTTTCCTGTTGGTGTTAATGATTTGTGAGCATGCTTTGGGATTAAAAAAGCATGAATGATATTTCCTAAAAAGGTGCGGCATCCATTCAGATATTTCGTCATGATTTTTGAGAACCAGCTTGGTGTAGTGGATTTTAAATTTTGTTCAGTTAATTATTTTTTTTTAAATATTCGCACGTTGTTTAGGGGTGCCATTCCTACAGCAGAGGATCAAGGTGTTAGGAGAGCCTTAGAATTTATGAGGAAAAACTTACATACAATGTACTGTATCAAACTATTTTACATGAATGACGCAAGTATTCTGAATAAAAAAAAAATCAAACATTGTTAAAACAAGGTGTTATGTAATAAATTTATTTTTCATAAATCTGCATATGACCTTTGCCTGTATTCCTTTTTATCAGCGACAACACCCCGCTCCCCCGTTGTACTTCCATATTGGGTTGTGTCCTGAGAAACAGTATCTGACAGGAATTTTTCTGGCAAGTGGGCAGGCTTCTATTAACTGCTGAGAAGGATTTTTTTTTTTTTTAATAGCAGAAAAGAATGCCTTCGTAACACATCGTGACCCCAGTTGTGTACATGTAGCTGATCAGCTGGAGATACACTGAATGTGGGTTTATTACTAGCTACATTTCATAGATCCGACAGCTCCTTTTCATCTACAAAATCTAGAGCCATTCCTGTCTGAATAGTTCTTCGAAGGTTTCTGTAACTCATTCTTATCTTTGTATCTAATACCACAGCATGATTTAATGACATAAATATATGCAATATATGTAGGACTTTTTTCTGCAAGTGCTTCATGTAGTGTGAATATCAACTGATGTGATCCATTCAAATGCACTGAGCTGCTGATGGGGGGCAAAAGAAAAACCAAATCGGTAGCCAGCCGGAAATGCAAACCATGTTTGAAGTGAAGATAAAATTATCTGAGTGGAGTAAAGGTTTAAGTATTCAGGAGACTTAAAACTAAAGGAAAAAATCTGAGTGCAAAGTTTACGCTGCATTAGTAATACTGTATGATACCCTCTTCATTTTGACATAGTGTTGTCAAAATCTGGCTTTCCTCAGTTTCTGGAACACAAATAAATAAATAGGTGGGAATGCCTTAAACTTCTTTTTGGTTTGTCTTTCAAGTGAAAGCCTTTTTTCATCCTTTCCTTAATTTATGTATAGGCTTTGAACTTGCCTGTTCAGTATCTCCAGACTCTTCCCAGGTTCTGAAATGGTGACAAGAGTAACTTTTCTTTGGCTAAAGTACTATTGGCCTAGATTTTTTGTTTTCTTATCAATGCATATTTATATTAATGCATAATAGCTAATATTATTCATATTAATGCAAACCTTATTGGATACCAGTATGCTGTGATGTCTCCAATGCTTTGTATAAAAGTAACAGGCTGGCTTTAATTTCATTTTTGCAAAGGGAAATGCATCCAACTGACAAAAAGGACTCTTGCCATTAGTTTGCGCTTAAATTTGATTTTCCTATTAAGAAGGTTTTTGAGATGAAGATGCAGCTTATCAACTAATTATAGTAAAGCTAAATTATACTCTACATTTAGTTCTAAATAGTCTGCTACTCCATTTGCAGTAATTTCATTCATTTTACTCCATTTTTAGTAGACGTATTGCAGATTACCTCAACAAACTGAGATCCTACAGGCAAGTCAAATCTTAATATTTGACTTGTTCTGATGTCTGAGTCAGCTGGTTGTTTGGGAGGAGGAATCTGAGGTTTCTTTCTCTAGAACTGCAGAAAGAAAAGGTTTTTCAATGCTTGGTATAACGTCTGATACCTTCAAGACGGGTATGTTTCTGTTGCAGATAAGGTTAATCTTGTTATATTCATGACGATTGTAAATTATGTTCTGCATCAAATAAGTTTTTTAATACTGGTTTTAGGAATACTGAGGGCAAGGCTCTAAATTACTTTCCTGAACTGTTTTAAAAAAAAAAAAAAATTAATCCTGTCCCTGTTTTGCTCTGGGGAGCTTTTTATGTGAGAGTTACAGAAAGGGGAGAAGACGAAAGTACCTTTGAAAACATTTAATAGAAGTGTTGCAAATTCCCGTGAGGGAGATGGCAGCTCGGCATGCAGCAGCCGGCGTGTGAGCCATGGCTCTTCCCTCGCCTAGCTCAGCTTTTGTTACTGGATTCAAGAACTTCAAAGCTTTTCATTTTTCACCAACAATTACCTGGACCAATCTGAGTGTATTTCAAATAGCTCAAGTCTGGGAGCCTGTCTTTGTTGCTCTGATTAAAGAACAAATTGTTTTCTGGAGTAGGCTTATGTTGAAAATGGACAAGCTTAACTCGATCATGAGGATAAATACGCTATTGCACTTTCACCTTGGCACTTCTAGCAAGTCTAGCTTGTGGCAGCTCTGAATTTATTGTACCTGATAAGAACCCAGCTTCTTTAAGAAGCAACAAATAACTTCTGCAGTGACCCCTTTTGAAGAGGGTTTCAGCATTAGTGGTGGGGAGGAGCAGTCTGAGGAAGGAAATGAGCCCGGTTCTGTCCTGTCCCCTCCTGTGTGTATATGTAATTGGAAAATACTCACTGAATTGCCCGTGGCAGTGCCCAAGCGATGCCCAGCTGAGGGGTAAGCCAGCGTTAGTTCAGGTTTTCTTTCAGCTCTCTTCTTCCTTCATTCTGAAGCCACTGCTGGGGAGAGTCTCTTCTGGGTCTGGGGTGATTCATCTGTAGGTGGCAAGCTCCTCAAGCAGCTAGGGTGGTAGGCCTGAGCAGGAGAGGAGTGAGCAAACACATCTCTCCAAATTCCTTTTTACTTTCTGTGTGCAATGCTTAATTTTTATGGGGTTTATGTTTCCATGCTTTGCTTTCCCAGGGGAGATACTTAATGCAGGTGGCAGGTATCTGCCATTGCCTGTTCAAACAGTATCGCAGTCCTTGGCATCTTGTTTGTGCTAGATGGGCTCCTCCGAAAGAAAAGAGCAAGTTCCTCCGTGTTTCTGTGCTGAGGGCCAGCAGCAGCCCAAGTCCCAAGTGTCTCATCAGCTACCGTGTCCATGGTAGCTTTGCACAGAGCTTTCTCCACAACATGAAGCAGCACATTTTTGTGAGACTGATCATTAGGATGTTATAATTTCTGATTATTAGGATTTTATTTTACACGAAGTGGTGTCAACTCAACTCTCCTTTGCGAACTGAAACAAGAAGAAGACAGCAAAGCATGAGTGGAGTGTAAGTGAAGCATGCAGGGGTTAGCCATGTCATGTGAAACGGCCTTAAGCTCTGTCAAAAAGGATCTTGGAAGCTGTTCCTGTCTTTTACACCTTGTGGTATGTCTTTTGCCGGTTCAGACCCCAGCAGAGGTGGCAATTAGTGAGAACAAGGGCTGGAGTCAGTTGCAAGTGAAAGTTTTATGTGAAGAAATGACTTGTGCTGTTCCCCGGTGTCCATTGATTTCTTTCTAAAATTGCTCTTTGAACAATAAGCAGCTCCTGTTGTATCTCCCCCAAGCCCATCCTGGCTTCACTAAAATGCAAGCTGTGATCTCTGCCTTTCATGTATGGTGGCTGTTGATGATTTTATGGGCACGGTTAGGCAGTTTGACTGCCACTGAGTGGGCTAATGGAGGTGGGATGGAGCCTGCAGGATATTTGTTATTGTGTATCAGAAAGGAAAGACACAGATTATTTCTTGGAGCCAGTGGTGGAGTTGTAGACCTGCCATTTGGACTAACCGTTGTTGCCATTTTAAGTCGAGCCTATTTTCTGCAGAAAGACTGAGTAATGTGGTGCTCCCTGCACACTATTTTAGTTACACCCCATAATATATAATAAAGCAGCCCTTTTTGGTTGGCAGCGCAGCCGTCTCAGCATCTTCCTCTAGGCTGAGTGGTGACAATGCTTCAGGATGCTGGTTCTGAGACAGTTTAATAGCCCGTGTCCCTTGAGACTGAGGTAGATGAGCTTAATTCAGTGTAATTTGCTTGTCACAGCTATAGATAAAGAACACTCTGTGAAATAATCTGTCAGACATCTGAATGGTGGGATGTACAAACTGTGCTCTAGCAGTCGGAGAGGTAGGGAAAAAGGTGCATACCTTTTGAAAGCAAAACAGAAATTAAGCTGCTTCTTCCACCAGGGCTCTTGCGATAAGTTCCTCTCCTCGAGGATTTTAAGCAGCCTTTATCTTGGTGGTTGGCTTCAGCTATGGCAGATGGAGCCATCTCCAGAGGACTGTCTTTAGTCAAAGGGATCCCGTGCTGTAGAGCTTGGCACTAGCGCTGATGTTAATGAAGCCATTGCCCTGGGGTGATGCACACCAGCTCCAACCCAGGATGGGTATCTGGACAAGCTCCATCACTGCTCTGAAAGCTCCCACGTCACATGGTATTGAAAAGCACTTTTCAGCCTGCCAGGATTAGGGTGTCTTTCCTTGGCCTTCACACTGAGTTTAACTATCCCTTTGCATTTCTGGTCCTACTTAGGTGGGCTGGGTACTCCACCTGAGCGAGGGGAGATGGAGAAAGGGCTAGTGCAGGAGGGCTTGTTATTTAAGCAGCGCAGCGCATCTTGGTGCATAACCCCGTGCCCAGAGAAACACCAAGGATACCCTTTACAGCGTGCGCATTCGGGAAGTGTTTCCGTTTCCTCAGCCTGGAATGTGGGAAAGCTGCCGAGTGCTCGGAGCAAGCCTTTGTTTAATATTTGTGGGAGCTTTGGATTTGTACCATGCTTCACCCATGGTGTTTGAAGAGCAGCAGCATCTCTGCCACCCCACCAGCTACATAAGAAATGCAACCAGCTGACTGAGGAAGGGAGGGAGATGAAGTAGGGGTTTGTCTAAGGAGAGCGCCTACAGGAGTGCTGAGATTAGAGTTGAAAAGCGCTGAGCAGATGCTTGTGGAAGACCCTGTTAACGCCTTTTCCAAAGGCACTCTATGAGAAGGCAAAGAGGTATTGTCTTACCCTGTGAGGTGTAAATAGCGCTCCTGTCTTTAATGGGAGCTCATTCCTTCTCCGAGTCACCGTGCTAAAATCTGACCATTTGTGTTTCCAGTTCATGCAGGATCACTGGCTGGTCTTCCCACAAGATGCTGGCAGGGTGCGCACAGAGCTATTCTTATCGATCGACTTTTTAAATTAAAATTCATTTGCTGTGTATAGTGTTTCTCAAATATATGTAGGGACCTGTAAGGCTTTCTACACCAGCCAAGCTCTACCTTGGTGAGTTCTTCCTGTTAACTGGGTATGGAAGACAATAGAATAAATTGTTTGGCATGCTTCACATCTGCTTCAGCCATGTGCTCCTGTAGATCAAAATACGGAGATACCCAGCAAGCTGTGGAGAAGGATTCTTTGGGGATAAAGTATGCGTTTGGGTGCTGGGAATAA